CATATCATTTTGTATCTAGACATCACAAACATTTTGTTACGACAGCGGAAGTCACGCGACGCTGGGAGCATGCGCGCTGGAGTTTCTAGAAGGATAATGCCGCGAATGTCCCAGTGTTTGCAAGACGCCCTTCTTTTTTTAGTATATAAGCCTGGCAGATAAAGCCTGTGGGATGATTGATTGTAGAGATAGATATGCAAATAGATTGAAGATAGAGATAATTGAGTCAAGCGAACGGTAGTGACGGTAATGTAAAGTGTGTGTTTTGTTATCGAGATTGCAAACGTAGTGACTATGAAAATTCTGTGTATCACAAAGTTGTATCGAGAAAGAATAAACTAGTTTTAATCAATAAGGGACTTGTATCGCCGTAGTTCTTTGGAAAGAATTTGTACCGGAAATTAACAAACAAGCAGATACGTAACAATTTAATTTGAACCAATGCTGCATTCAACTTACCACGTGACACCTTAGTATGATACATTAGTTAATTTCTAAATTTAAAAGTAAATATTAAAAAGAATCCTAGATATCGATTTATGTTTTTTACAGGAAATAAAAAAATGTCCATCCATTACTTTATTTACATGACCACTTTACCACTCTTATCCGTAACATCTATAAATACTTATTACACATTACTACATATTTAGAATGGGTGATATTTTAAAGTAATGATTACCTTTAACTATATTCAATAACCTCAGAAGTATTAATTGTAAAATGTTGGATTACTTTAGAATAAATTCATTAAAACATTCAAGCTGTTGCTTTTTAAGTTTTAATCACATCATCAACTATTATTTACTGAATATAATATATCCCTACCCATGTCATCACGTTTGTTGACTCTCATTCAAAATTTTATTGAACTACTATTTTATGAATGTCTGTCAATAAGTTTGGTATAAAACTGTAGATTATAATGCAACTTTTGGTTGTTAGGTGTCAATCTCGTAAAAACCAGTTTAGAAAGATAATGTCTGCCATTGTGAAAACTTTTGCCTGCCAACCTTTAGTGACAGCTCAAGTGAAACATTGATTGTACAGACTTTTTACCCCTAGTTTTTTTACAGACCGCACCCTAGTTGACAATTTCTTTAGCTTTAATCAGGATTTAGTTATCCCCTACAATATCATAATATTGTTCAAATTTATAAATTACTAGATATAGTGTACAAAGTATTGGGAATATTGTAATGTAGGGACTGGGCCCTGCATAAAAGCCAGTAACAGCCAGAGTTTACCCGAATGTTGTTGCCCATGATTCTCACTTCTCAATGCTACAATTCTACACTAACGGACAAGATCTTTTTCAAAACTACAATGCAACAATATACTGTACTTGTATTATTCAAAATGATTTCAAAGAGCACAGCCGAAATTTCAATCATTTCTCTTTGCCAGATCACTAACAGGACATCAACACGATTAAGAATCTATTGGATAAACTTGAAAATCGCTTTTAATACTCCAATCCTCTATCGATATCTTGAAGTCGCTTGCCTATCATTTTGCTCAGTGAATTTGCTAAAATTAAACAAAGACACCTTCTAAAAATCTTCTGAAGTCAACGTCAAGTCGAAGTTATGCTGTTATCATTGTAACGAAGGAGATTCAATCCAATATTATTTAAGGTACTATTAATGCGGCCAATCAACTTATAACTGGATTTTTGGACATTGTAGAGTCTCTTTGACGTTGCTGAAAACTTAAAAAATCGATTAAGTACACAATATAAAAATTAAGATTTTACAAAACCTGGAAATATTTCAAGTTTTAACAGCTAAGACGTATGTTGGTTTAATCATTTACAATCAACTGTCTTTCGATACCTTCAATTCTCACTTAGCGTTTTCCCATTGATTTTTAGCTTTTATATCCGTATTCCTTTTATCAATAACAAATAATAGAGAATTTCTTCGTATATGAAAAAGGTTCTTATATCTCTCGTAAAGGTTGCTACAATTACCGTAGATATTAACAACTGTTATAGTTGTATCGACTGTCGCAATGGTTATTACAATTATTACGACTGTCGTAAGTGTTGGAAGTACAAGAACAGCTCTAACAATTTTAGCGATGAGTTATCTTTTAGAAACACATGTATATGTTCATCATTATTGTGCTTCAAATAATTCAGATCCAACTCACAGTTATCTCCGTCTTGGATGCACATAAATTTCTCCAAATTTTATGAAAACTTTTTATATTTTATGCGCTTTGTTATATTTAAAAGAGAATACTAAAAAAGTTTTTTTTACGTTGTTTTTAGGCATGGTAGAACGTTTAGTCTCAGGATTGGATGCATTGTTTGTGGAATCTCATGTCTCGTCTCCAGCTTTTTTTTGGATTTTTATTCATTTGTAGCACTTCGAATCTTCCTAGGTGCTGGACTCCAAATCAATCGATTTTTGTCATCCTTGTTAGGTTTGTATTTTTCAAATATTCTTTGACAAGTTTCTAGACATACATTAACAATATTATTTCCACCATCAGAATTAAAAGTGCTTCAATCTGAAACGGCGAATGTTTCATTTCGCAGTTAACGTTTTATGAAATAAAAGAACAAATATTTTTACATTTTTGTTATTTTGTTATAACGTACTGATATTTTAGTTACGATTTCTCTTTTCATGCATTACTACTTCATTCAATAGTAGACAAAACACGATAAATGTGGTTTAAACAGGCCTCGCATGGCATGGTGGTCAAGGCGTTCAACTCGCAATCTGAGGGGAGCGGGTTCGAATCCCCGTCACAAAACATGTTCGCCCTTTCAGCCGTGAGGGAGCTATAATGTTAAGATCAATATCATTCTTCGTTGGTAAGAGAGTAGCCTAAGAGTTGGCGGTGGGTGGTGTTGACTAGCTGCCTTCTCTTTAGTCTATCACTGCTAAATTAGAGACGGCTAACTGCGATAGTCCTCGTATAGTTTTGGGCGAAATTCAAAAACAAAAAAACAAAACTGGTTTTAACTGAGAAATGAACAGAGTATCTAGAATGGAAAATAGTGAAACAAGCAATTTATTGTTTTCAAGTTTAGACTCCAAAATTAGGACTTCCCAATATCACGAAAAAAATATTACTTACTTGTTGAAAACAGAATTCAATGTACATCAGCCTATGTTTCCTCTGCTACTAAAAATGTTAAATCTGAAAGTTAAAAATCATGTAAACACTCTACTTACTGAAGACTAATATCCAAATAACATTAAAATAATTTTATTCTTTCAGAGGTAAAAAGCACTACTCCGTTTATTTTAAGTATAGAAATTCCTATAATAAAATTATAATCTTTGTAGAATCACATTATTAACCTTTACACAAAACTGTAGGTGTTGTAAACATAAATTCTTTCAAAACATAAACTCTCTAATATCTCATATCAATAAAGTGCTAATTTTGTTGTATGAAAAGAAAAAACAAAAAATTCTTAAGATATTTTCCATAATTAAAAAGGATAAAAATAGTAAAGATCGCTTGATCGTTTTAATGAGTATGTACGTTATAGTTAAGAAACTAAAAATACTGATAAAGATTCCTTGGGTAAATAGATCGTTTTAATGAGTATGTACGTTATAGTTAAGAAACTAAAAATACTGATAAAGATTCCTTGGGTAAATAGATCGTTTT